ATCATGTGGTCTTTGTCCTTCCTCAGTTGATGTATTTAATTATGTTTATGGTTTTGGAGATGTTGAACCAGCCCTGCATCCCAGGGATGAAGCCTACTTGGGTCATGGTGGATGATTTTTGAGATGTGTTGTTGGATCTGGTTTGCAAGAATCTTTTTGAGAATTTTAGCATCTATGTTAATCAAATATATTGACTTGTGGTTCTGTTTGTTGAATCTTTACCCGATTTGGGCATCAATGTGATGTTAGCTTCATAAAATGATTTGGGGAGAGTTCCATCTTTCTCGATTGCCTGGAATACTTTCAATAGGATTAGTATCAGCTCCTTCTTGCATGTCTTGTAGAATTCTGCTGGAAAGTCCAGGGCTTTTTTTGGTAGGTAGTTTTCTTATGACATAGTCAATTCCCTGTCTTGCTATTGGTCTATTTAGAGTCTCGATTTCTTCTTGTTTAAACCTGGGGAGATTGTGCGATGTAAGAAAATCCTTCATCTCATTTAGGTTTTGGAGTTTGTTCCCATACAGGTGTACATAGTAATCTCTGATAATCTTTTGTATTTCTTTGGGGTCACTTGTGACTTCATATTTTGCATTTTTGATTGTTTATTTGGGCTTTTTCTTGGTCAGTTTAGCTAGGGGTTCAGCAGTCTTATTTATTCTTTCAAAGAACCAGCTTTTGGTTTCATTGATTTTTTTGTATTATATTTTTGTCTTCTATGTTTTTCCGAATTTGGGCTTTTATTTTGGTGATCTGGATTCTTCTGCTGAAGTTAGGAGTTTGGTGGTCTTCCTTTTCCAGCTTCCTTAGGTGATTTGTTAGGCTGTTAACTTGTGATCTTTCCATTTTCTTCATGTGTGTTCATAGAGATATGAATTTCCCTCTTAGTACTGTTTTCATGGCATCCCAGAGACTTTAGTAAGATGTTTCTTCATTTCATTTGTTTCCAGGAATCTTTTAGTTTCTGTTTTGATTTTTGTGCCGACTCAGGAGGATTTAGTATCATGCTGCTTAGTGTCCACATCTTTGTGGGTTTTGGGGGAACTTTGTTGGTGCTGATATTTCTTTTTATTCCACTGTGGTCTTAGAAAGTGCATGACTGAATTTCAATCTTATGGAATTTGTTTATGCTTGATATATGGTTGAGCATGTGGTCAATCTTAGAGTACATTCCATGTGGTGATGAGTAGAATGTATAGTCTTTGGTTGTTATGTGGAGGGTTCTGTAGGTATCCTTAAGTCCATTTGGTCAAGCGTTAAATTGAGGTTCCAGATCTCCTTGTTGATTTTTTGTCTTGATAATCTGTCTAGGGTTGTTAGTGGAATGTTTAAGTCCCCAGCTATGATAGTTGTAGAGTCAATATCTTTTTTTAGTTTACCTAGAAGCTCCCTTATGAAAGTTGGTGCTTCTATGTCATGTGCATGTGTGTTTAGGTTGGATATTTCCTGTTGATGGATTGAGCCTTTTGTCATTATGTAGTGATCTTCTGTATCTTATTTTAATTTTTGATAGCTTAAAGTGTATTTGTCTGATATTAAGATTGTGACTCCTGCTTTCTTTTGTGTTCTGTTCACCTGAAATTTTGTTTCCCACCCTCTGACTTTGAGTCTGTTAGTGTCCTTTCTGGTGAGATGCATCTCTTGGAGACAATATATTGTTGCCTCATGATATTTTATCCAATTTGTAATTCTATATCTTTTCAGTGGTGTATTTAGTTCATCCACATTCAGGCTGATTATTGAGATGTGAGTTTATCCCTATCGTGAGGTTCTTATAGTTTGTTGTTGCTGCTGTTCGTTTATTTGTTTGTCATCTTTCTTTTGATTTTTGAGTTCATTCATGTCTGTCTTCAACCTTTTTCCTGCATTCTTGGGAAGTGCCTTGTTGGTTATTGTTTTTCTTTCTCCTGTGTTTAATACTTTCTTAAGTTTTTCTTGTAGAGCTGGTCTGGAGGCAGCATAAAGTCGTAGGGATTGAATGTCTGGGAAGAATTTTAATTCTCCATCACTGACGAAACTTAGCTTAGAGTAGGTAATTCTTGGTTAAAATTTTTTATCTTTGAGAATTTGAAGATTGGGCTCCAATTTCTTTTACCCTGAAGTGTTTCTGTAGATAAGTCTGCTGCTATTCGAATTGGTCTTCCACTGTAGGTGATCTGACCTTTCTTTCTTGCTGCCTTTTTCATTTTTTCTTTATACCTACTTTGTGTAGACAAATTACTATGTGTCTAGGAGTTGGTCTTCTCATTTGCTGTCTTGCAGGGGTTCTCTAAATCTCTTGTGTTCAAATGGTCACATCACTAATGAGATGAGGGATGTTTTCTTGGATGATTTCATGGGTGGTCTCCGTCTATCTGCCCGAGGGATTCCAATTAATCTTAGATTCAGCCTCTTGAAATAATCACTCATCTCTTGGAGGTTTTGTTCGGTCTTTTTAAGATTCTTTTCTATGTTTTTAACAGTTTGGGTTAGTTCCCTATGTTGGTCCTCAAGCTCTGAGATTATTTTTTCTTCATGGTTAATTCTGCTTTCCATGCTTATTAGTTTGTTATTTATTTCATTCACTGTATACTTTATTGTTGTTTTCTAAATTATCAAATCCTTCATTCTTTCCTCTTGTCTCTCCTTGATTCTATTTATTCTCTCTATTAATGTCTTGATATCTGGGTTTGTGGTTTGAGACCAGTCATTCTGGGAGCTCTTCATTGTTTGAGTTCTGACGTTTGTATTTTCGGTGGCTGACCTTCCAGGGGTCTGTGTGAGACTCATATTCTTCCTTTGGATTGTCTTCATTTTTGTAGATTTTCCTCCCCCCTTTTAAAACCTCTTCTTTAATTCTGTTGTTCAGTAATAGGAGGGATAACTTTTATTTCCGTTTGCCCAATCTCCTATTCTTCCTTATGGTAGATCCTTTGGTTTTGTTCAATTCTGAAGCTGGACTGGGGTTGGGTGCTTGTGCTTTTTGCAGTTTTGAGATTTAATTAAGGGGAGAGCTGTGATTCAGAAGCTATCCGCAGATTCCAGTATCTACTGATGTGTGTGGGCCCCCTGGAACCCACTTTCCACTGTCTTATAATCTGCCCATGAAGGGGGGTTTCTGTTTACCCCCTCAACTTATTGCTGCTGCTGTCAAGTCTCCCACTAAGATCTGATGTGTCTGTGCCTGTTCCAGTGTGGGGGATGGGCATCTGTCTCTCTGAGCTTGATGAGAGGGTAGCCTCTGGGTCCCAAGATGGAAGCTGGGCAGAGCTGGGCAGGGCAGTGCAGGTCTTTGCCCAGTCCCGGGACTGAGAAGATGGTGCCCGTTGGCATCTTGTCACCAGCTTTGGATCTTTATTCCAGATTTCCACAACCTGCCTTCTCCACAGTTCCTCCTGCTCGTGCCAGTTTACTGCTGCAGGTGATGGCATGGGCCAGGTGCCAGGTGTGGAGGAGTAGTGTTCTCTGATGCCTCCTTTCAAGAGCCCTCAGAATGGCAGGCGATCCTGTGTGCCTGTATCTCCAGTCTCAAGGTGGTGGTGGGTGGCAGTCACTGCTGGAGGAGAGCCTCAGGTGCATGAACCTGAGTCTCCCCTCAGACAAACTTTCGCTCACCCACTAGCACACACTCACTCATGCATAGAGTCTTCATGGACACTTGCTTTTGCAGAAACTTTCACATTCCAACCTGTTCCATCGCCATCTTGCCTAGAAGCACCAATTCTAAACTCTTTAATGTTGTTTTCCAGGTCCGCATGCTCTGACCCCAGCTCACCCCATGGTTCATAGACGCCATAACTCTTCAGGCTTCAGTCACAATGTCTTTTCAGTTGCTCAGACACTCCAGGCTGCTCCCCTTTCTGGGGTCTTTGCACATACTTTCCCTCTGCCTGGAATGTTCCCTCCACTTTGCTTGGATCAGCCTTGGAATCCCCATCTAAATGACACTCCCTCAGCAGCCTCCTCTGATGCCTTGGGATGAATAGGTCTTCCCATTACTCTTCCATGCCACCCACTCTGTTTGAATCATACCAACCACAGTTTATAATTCTATGTTCATTTGTGTAGTAGTTATTTGTTAAAAAAAAATATTTCTATCTCTAACCAGACGGCAACCTCCACTAGGAAAAGGGGCCATGCCTGTTTTCTTGGCCTTTCTATCTTAAGCAATCTAGGCCTGGACCCCAGCTCCTATTAGGTTCTCAGCAAATACCTTCAGAATGATGAAATAAATGCACTAACCATAAGTTAGAGTTGTACATATATATATATTTCAAGTCTAAGTGATAGTTGATTTTGGTTGAACAGATACTCTGTGTGAGACATTACTATGTGTGCAAGTGCTTTGCATTTTTTTCTAGCATTTATGTGTCATGACAATAACACAGTGAGGTAAGAAAGATTATCTTCACTTTAAAGATGTGGAAACTTAACCTTGGAGAGGTTTAATAACATGTCTATGTCCACAAGTCTGTAAGCATCCCAACTTCATCACCTGTGTTCTTAATCTGCTCGTTTATTTGGTTTTTGTTAAACCTCCAGTTTTCTAAGTTCATAAAACAATAGCACCAGGCCCTTACATCACAGTGATCATAATAATCAAAAACCAGATTTGTCTTGTGTTCTTTATGGAGATAATTATTGTTGTCCTGTGCCTCCATGCTCCCTACCAGAGACAGCATCTTTTAAAAAATAAGTATGAATATAGTGATTAAAACTATTAAATAACTTGTATTTTTGTAGATACTAACCTGAAAATATGAAAACCTGAGAATATAAAGTCCTCAATATGGAGTTCTTTTCTGTTTGGCTTTATAGTGTAAGCTTTCTTTCTTTCTTTTTTTAATTTAGACTCACCAGAGGTGAAAATATTTAATTTCCTTTTCCATGGAGAAATCCAATAATAGAATGAAAATCAGACTTCATTGGACACATTTTATCAATTACATCTGATTTTTGTTAACAGTATCTTATAAGCTCTCATTTTAAAACAATCTCTTTTTAAATCTCTTTCATGAAACAGCACATATCTAAATGAGAAGTCACTCCACCTAACAGAGAAATGCAGAAGTCTACAATATGGTATTGAGTCTTTTTCTAACAAAACGAAAGGGTAAGTTCTACTCTTCAATTTAATTTAATAAGTAAGTGTTTTGTATTCAGAATGTTTCACAGCATCTTTGAAATCATTGGGAATATGAGACTATGTTCACTCTCGGGGTTGCTGGTGGGCTCTGAGGGGGTCCTGGCAGTGGGGAAGGTGGACTAGAGGCCGAACAGTGCATACCAGGGTTAGATCCTGGCACTGGGACTCAGATAAGCTGTCCCTGGCTCCACATTTCTTACAAACACCTTGTAGAGACTGGGTGTGTTAGCTCATACCTGCAACCCCAACTTTCTGAGAGGAGGAGGCAGGATGATTACTTGTGGTGTTGAGTTCAAGACTAACCCGGGTAGTATAGCAAGACTCTGTCTCAGTTTAAAAAATAAATAAATAAATTAGCCAGATGTGGTGGTGGATGCCTGTAGACCCAGCTAATTTGGAGTCCAAGGCGAGAGGATTGTTTGAGCCCAGGGTTTCAAGGCTGCTGTGATTGCACCACTGTAATCCAGCCTGGATGACAGAGCAAGACCCTGTCTCCAAACAAAATGTAGTTTTACTGGCTAAAAGGTCCTCGGTCCTTTTAAGAATCCCATATATGCTCTGGACACCATGCTAAAAGTGCACCCTTGCACAAAATTTTGCACAAGATGTCAACAGATGAATAGATTTATGCCTAGTCCCAGCTATGGTCTTCCCTCAACTTCCCAGCCCCTGTTTACAATCCTGTATTTTAGACTTCACTATATCATTTTCTTCAGCCAGGGGAAGGGAAAGCCTAAAAGCTCCATGCTTCATCTACGTGGAAGAGGCACGGGTGGTCTGAGACTTGATGTGAGAAATGTTGGTGAAATTTTACCTGAAAGAAGTCAAATCTAACAATGCTGGACAAAGAATGTCCACGTGGCGAGGGGGCATGTGATTATACCTGTAATCTCCCCGAAAGGAAGGAATCTAAGCTTCATTTTACTGCATGCTTGCCTGGCAAAATTTTAATATTGTTCAAGAAAAGAGGTACAGCTGATTTCCTCATGCCAATCCTATACAGGGAAGACCCAGTGGTATTCCTGCCTCCATTTCTCTCTCTCTCTCTCTGTCTTTCTCTTTCTCTCTCTCTCTCTCTCTTTCTCTCTCTCTCTCTCTCTCACACACACACACACTTCTTCCTTTTTTAATGTTAAAAATAGGCAGAGAGCAGTGACTCACTCCTGTAACCCCAGCACTATAGAAGGCCGAGGCAGGATGGTTGCTTGAGCTCAGGAGTTCAAGACTAGCCTGGGCAATACAGCGAGATCTCATCTTGAAAAAATAAAAGTAAAAAATAAAAACTTAGCCAGGTGTGGCGGCACATGCCTGTAGTTCCAGCTACCCAGAGGGTTGAGGTAGGAGGATCTCCTGAGCCCCAGTCAAAGCTGCTGTGTGCCACTGCATTCCCGCCTGAGTGACAGCTGCTTATGATCCATTCCCTCTCTTCCCTGGGATCATGGGAGGTTGACCTGGGGTTGGAAAAAAAATCAAGGTGGGTAGCCTGGTTTAATCTTCTTCTCAACTGAACCTCTGGGTAAATAGACTAATGGTATTTGCTTGGAGGAAGATATGTTCCCTTTGAGTGTCCCTTGCAAGCTGATCCCCGGCTAAGGTGGTTCTGCTTATAGTAAATGGAACCCAGGGTCCAGGAGGCAGGGCCCCCTGGAGAAAGGCACACAGGCTGTGCAGCTCCCCGGGTATGAAAGAGAAATGTTTCATAATTTAAATTTTCCTGCTCTGTGAGAAAGCCCACAGGTCTCACAGAGAGATCTCACCTGCTATTCTAGGCATATTCAGTGCGGGAAGACAGGGGTGGGGTGGTGCCCTTGATGTCTCTCTGCTTTGTCTGAGCCTCGTGACTGCCCAGATCTTTGAAATTATAAGAAGGACTTGGTGCTTGGTAAGAGCTCTGATTCGAGTCAGTCTGGTTTGACAATTCAGTTCTGTATATTAGCTCAGTTTCTAACAGAAGATAGCCTTATTCTCATTTTTGTCTTTTTTTCCTTAATTTGTAACTGATGGACCCTAAACTTGCCAGAGAAATACACCATGCTGCAAGTCTTCTGCTTGTCCACACGATCCACTTCCCATCCTCGCTCACTGCCCTGCCAACAGTTTAGTCTTGGTCTGCCTTTGCCCTGAGAGGTTGACCTACAGGGACTTCAACAACAGGCTCTGGGCTCTTTTACCATCTGATTTTTCTTAGGATTTGACCGAGGCGGGGCACGAGGAAGAAATCAGAAAGTGAGAAGAAGGAGAAGTGCTCTCCTCATGGTGTTGTTGCTGGTTACCTATAGCCTTGGCTGAAGGAATGTGCAGCATCACTGAGCAAAGGCCAGGACTTTTTGGCTAGGTCTCTCTCTCCCTCTCTCCCCCCACATCCCCTTCCCCCCCATTCCCTCTCTCCTTCTCCCTCTCTCTTCCTTTCTCCTTCCATCTCCCTTTCTTACTTTTTCTCTCCCTCTCTTATATACACACATAAACACACACACAATATTTTGCTTTCTCTCTCCCTCTCTCTCCCTTTCACTCTCTTGCTCTCCCCACCCCCACCCCCCATTTCTGCCACTGGACCCTTCAATTTCAGGATAAGCTGTTAATATGTCCTCTTGGCTTTGAACTTGAATTTCCCTATACCCTTCCTGGACCTCCAGGAAATGTCCCTTCTTTAAGTCCTTCTTAAATTCTACAGTTTGAGTGAGCCATCATTTCTGCCAAAGCCCTAGCTTACTATAGATTGGTTTGGATGAAGACTTTTACAAATGCTTCTCCTCTCTTATGATAAAGTCACTGCATTTTGGGTTGGATTTTAAGTAGCTCTTGCCGTAGTGATGGCAGGCACCACACACGTTTTGATCATATTGGTGCTGTTGTTCTGTTGCTGTTTGTTGGGTGTGTTGGTGTTGCGAGGCTCTTTCTGAGACTTTTCCTGACCCCTTCACACATCGGAGGTATGGTACACTGATGCATGATAAACAGAACAGGAAAAATTGATCCTAGCTCCACCTGCCCCTGGGAAAAACAGGTTGTACTGCTTGCCACATGTGTAGATGTATGAACCTTGCCTTTGATTCTCTTCAGTTCTCTCACTGACATTAACCATTTTTGCTCCCCAAAGTGACAAAATCCCTTAAGGTAAGGATGATCAATTTCTGTTCATTGTTGCCAAACACTTGAGTCAGAATGGGGGGTGGGGGAATTCTCTAATCACGAAAGTCATCTTTTTCAAGGCAGAGATTTTGACAACTCTTTGATGTGCACCGACAGAAGTGGATAACTGCTGTAGGCTAATGAGAATGCCAAATGCATATGCTTTCAGGTCTGTGCTCTCACTTTTTTTCCCTGTTGTTTTGTATTTGGTGTTAAGACCTTTCCTTAGCTATTCTTCGGGGGTATGCCTTTCCATTAAGTGCACACAGTTTTCAGCTGCACTGGTATTCTGTTCAGCAAAGGTCTAGAGAGAGCAGGCACGGATTGCCCGTTGTTATGAAAGTGTTGTTGTACACACGGGAGACTAATTTTTTTGGTTGATTGTCTATGATCAGGAATTGTGCGTTCTGCAACTAGTGCTATTACAGACTTCCAGAGGACAATAGAGAAAGCTATTCAGTGTATAGTGATAAAAAAGTAATTTCATTTTCTTAGAAATAATTATCTAGCTCTATTTTTGTCATGGTCTGTTAAAGACTCAGAATTTTCTCTTTCTTCAACCAATTTGTCCCTTTCACACTACCAAAATAGAATTTAGGAAGATGAAGTTTTAGTGGGAGGGAAATAGTGCTCTTTTTCTTCCTTAGTCTTGAGTATATTTTTTTCGAGTAAAGAAAATTAAGCAGTTGACATGATGAGAACAGGTGGGGAAGGGTATTATCTGTCACGGTTCTTTATTCTCTGTTGAAGAGGGTGGGCTCCAAAGAGAATGGGACAGTGTCTTGTTCACACTTCTATCCCCCGGTGCCTATCACAGTGGCTTAGCACAAAGTAGTTGCTCAGTAAATATTTGTTGAATAAATGAACAATACATTTTCTATACCATCTCTGATTTCCAGGTCGTACAAAATTATCTGTAAATCCATGAATCAACTCCTTTTTGAAAGCAATTTTATCTTCTTTGACTCTTTCTTACTTTGGGTCTGTACTTTTCTGTTTTCCTTCTACCTCATCTTTTTTCTTTGAATATTTCTCTGTGTCTCTCCAGACCAATCCTTTTCACTAGGTTATCTCTCAGATAAAATATTATGCTGTATTAAAAGTGCTACACAGCCATCTTATCGCTGCTAGTTTGCTCATTATTTTGGTATGACAAACTTATTGTTCGTAATCTTTTCTATTTATATTTTTAGAAAAATGGCTATATGGCTAGCCAAACTGTCAATCTTAGTCCTCATCGCTTCAGATAAATGCAGAGATTTTTCTAAGAACAAATACTTCAGAGGTACTGACCCAGGAAATGAACTCATTTCCTCCTCTTGGGTTTCTCTGCTGTTGTTGCTAAGCCTTCTCTTCCCTGCGCTCTTCTTTCTTTTCCCAAGAGCTCTGGATCCCAAGAAAGCATATAATTATATTTGTACAGTTTCCACCATTGTGTCAGAGTAGATGAACTACTCTAACAAAAGCACCCAAAACTCAAGGCCTTAACACAGACTTTACTCTCTCTCATACAGTGTTCAAATGTTCAATATTCCGTCTTGATCAAGCAACTCATCTGAGTGGTTCTCCCCCAAGTGTTGACTCAGGGATTCTGGTCTTTTTGTTTTGTCATCTTCTTTGTCTTTCTTCTTTCTTCTTCTGTTTTCATCTGTTTCTCATTCTCATTCTGTCACCCAGGCTAGAGCACAGTGGCACACTCATAGCTCACCACAGCCTCGAACTCCTGGGGTCAGCTGATCCTTCTGTCTCAGTCTTCTGAGTAGCTGGGACTACAGGCATGTGCCGCTACGCATACCTAATTTTAAAGGTGTTTTTTTTTTTTTGTCTAGGGACAA